AACCAATCATAAACTGAAATTGTTCATTACATTAGTATTTTTCTGCATAGAAGCAGAAGTTCTTTAAGTGACTCTAAAAGGAAAGATAAACTTATCTTTAGTTTTGCAGAGCAGATGCAATTGAACATGTGTGAAGTGCATTATCACAGATCTGGCAGGCTAAAAGATGAATCTAACTGGATGTGAACAGCAAGATCAAGACTGTAATTAATTTTTCATTGTTTCCTTTTTGAACTTTTCGGATCAGTTCTGTTTCTGGCATCTCTTCTGCTGACTACTGGAGACATCTTATGTTTCATTTAGGCCTGTCCTCCTTACTCCTTTGCAATACCAAGTTGCAATCTCTGGCTGAGTCTTAACTCCTTACTTCTTTTACTACAGATACTGGGATAATGTTGCTCCATCTTTTCCCTATTGCCTTTCCTAATCATTTTTTAGTGGAGTAAATTTTCATATCTGGTGGTCTTTGGATGTAGGACAACAGAACTTGAAGTACTGATTTAGCATATATGTTATTGCCTATCCTTTCTATGACCACTGTTAAACAACAGTGAAATCTCCTATTGTCCTTTTCCATAGTTCTTTACCCAAATTGGTCCCTTTGTTTACATTGTAGTCTAACCATATACAGTCTTTTAAAAAATTTAAAAATGACAATTCCTTGCAAAACTCCATTAATTTCCTATTTACATATGTCTGACCCTTCCCAAGCCTAACCCACTTTTTCTCTTTCTGCATTCAATTTGTCAGAATGTAGCAGTTTCCCAAAGGAGAGATGGAGGACAGACAAAAACAATACTTGTCTACTACACTATTCCCAGACTGTTTCTAAGAGAAATTTGGTCATACATACCTAGTAGTACCTGGTTTGAAGTCTGATAGGAGAAAAAATGTTGCAATTGTCTTTAGGAATAAGAGGAATGTTACCTTTGACAGGAGACATCCTAATCAAAGGGCTTTATCCTAAGAATCCAAGAAGATGCCTTCACCAGTTTTTCTCTCTTCTTGCCTTAAGTAGGTAAGCAACAGCAGGCTGGGTCAGCTCAGTGATTAAAAAAACAAACTGAAAAAAATGTTCATGATTAGCAAAAAGCATTACAGAAATAATATTCTAGTTTCTGGAGAAAGCAAAGCTAAAGAGAACCCCCTAAAAGAGCTGGTATATAAGTCAGGGGAAATTATGGCAATATCTAGCTGTTAACTGAAGAAAGTTTAATGAAAGGACTATTTACGAAGGTTTGGGCAGGGGTAAGGGACTCTAGGAGAAACTTCAGATCATGTTCACTGAATGCATGACAAAGGTATGCCATCCAACTGGTCTTCAGTGACACCACAGTCATTAAGAGTATGCATCAACTTTGGAGTCTGATTGATAAAGGATCCAATACTAGCTTTACCACTTTCTACGGGTGTGATCTTTGGCAATTAAAAAAACTTACCTGAATTTCAGTTTCCTCACCTGTAAAATGAAGATGATAATATTTCAAAGGGTTGTTGAGACAGGTAGATGGAAAAATATAACTTAAATAGTAGCACCTGACAGTGCTCAAACACTTGAATGTTAAATTTAATTATTATTCCTGAATTTATTTTTAGTAGAGGTAATGTTGATCAAAAAGCTATTATATTTATAATCAGGTTTTGCTGTAATAAAAAATAAAAAAAGCTTAAGTAGAAGTTTTTCTTTCATACAAAATCCAGATCTAGAGAGGTCAGGTTTGGTATGGCAGCTCTGCTCTAAAAAGCCCACACACCTCCTATGTCTGTTTGTTGTTGTTTTTTTGTTTTTGTTTTTTTGTTTCCTATGTCTATGTTTTATCATTCTTAGTAATTGATCCTTGTCCTCATGGTCCAATGTAGTGGTCATTGCATCCTTGTTACATGTGGCAGAATTAACTAAATGGAGAAGAATTGGCAAAATGAGAGCAGCAGCACTCTTAAGGAAGGTTCTTGAAAGCTTATATTCTATTGGCCAGAACATTAGTCATATGGCCATACAAGGGAAGCTAGGAAATGTAGTCTTTATTTCTAGGGGAGAAAGAGACAATAGATACCTAAGGATAATCCATATTGTAATCCTTGTCACAGTCAGGAACTATTTCAAGTTATCTTTATTATCCTCAAGTCCTCCAAAGTCACCTTTTATTCTCCCATTTTTTCCTGTATTTCTTCTTCTCCACTGAATTTTCTCCCTGCCTTAGCCTACATATTTTCTGTTCCACTTCTCTTTTTGGCTTTATTTTCAGTTGTTTCTTTCTTGTATGTAATAAACATTCGTATTATTTTCTTTCACTTTTCTACTATTCTGCAATTACTAAAGTTTACCTTCTGTCTAAAATGTCATTTTCTACAAGTTTGTAAGTCCAAGACTTCTTATTCAAAGCCCAAATGTAAATTATTCTAAAAGGGCCCTCAGAAACTGCTCTCTCTAGAACAGTGGTTCTCAACCTAGCCCTTTAAGTACAGTTCCTCATGTTGTGACCCAACCATAAAATTATTTTCGTTGCTACTTCATAACTGTAATGTTGCTACTGTTATGAATCGTAATGTAAATATCTGATATGCAGGATGGTCTTAGGCAACCCCTGTGAAAGGGTCGTTCGATCACCAAAGGGGTCATGACCCACAGGTTGAGAACTGCTGCTCTAGAACTTCTCTTTTAGACTTGTATCTCAGGGTGACTTATATTAGACTTCCTTATGTATATTCCTATGCTCACCAGGATATGAGTTCAAGGAGATAAAATCTGTATCTTATACAGCTTTGTATCTTCTTCTAGAAAATGGGACTTTGCACATTTGAAGTATCTGTTTAACTGAAAAATATTCTTTAAGTCCAGGATTGTTATTATAAATGTTTGAAAGTTTTATAATACCTAGATAGAAAGCTATATGCCATAGATTTGTTTCTGAAAATCTGTGAGTAGAATTTTATAATTGAATTATTGTAAAATATATTTGAGGGGCACAAAACATAATTATATTATAAATTTTTCTATAAAGCTGACCTCACTCTTTCTCCTATTTAAATATTTTCCAGATTGGATTTTCAAATGCTTACTTTCCTTACAGTGGATACCATTATACTTGTCTCAACAAAAAATAATTATTCAAACATAGATATATAACTTCTACTGTATATAAATTATATCTCAATAAATTTGACTTTTATAAAGTTATATATTAATGTTCACACTTTTTTAGACATACTGGTCTATACTAGTTAAATTTACTAGTTAATTTTCTAAGACTACTATAAATATGAAGCTATCATCTACTTTCTATATTTCTCTGAAGGCTTATAATAATTTTAATAATCTCTGAATATGTTCTAGGGACAAACTTCTTAACTGAAATGAAACTATTTGAAAATCTTTGTACCAAAGGAACTGTGAAGATTATCCTTATATAATGAAGGAAATAAAATCTTCAATGATGCTTTTTAAAACTTAGTTTCCTAATCATTTCAAACAATTATGCTTTTCTGGAAAACTATACCAGGAAAAAAAATCCATAACAGAAGCAACTTTTCATAAGAACTTTATAGGATGATTCACATGGTATATTTTCAAAGACTGAAAAACATAAAGGAAATAGAAAATGACATATTCATTATAATTGCCATAAAATCATACATGCATAGCAAAATATATGATTATTGCTCACATATTATAAGACACTCACAATACGTTTATACTACATATACAGGCAAACTTCAAAAGGGTTGGATCTTAATAACAAAATGCTTTTTGATGTAAAATGTAAAGAAATGCAAAAATTGTGAATTTTTGCCTACTTTCCAGACCTAATTTATTTTGAAAAATAAATTTTTTATTTTAAAAATATATATTCTTATTGATTTCAGAAAGGGAGAGGAAGAGAGAGATAGAAACATCATTGACGAGAGAGAACCATTGATTGTCTGCCCTCTGCAAGCCCCACAATGGGGATCGAGCCCACAACCCCGGCATATGCCCAGACCGGAATCGAAGTGTGACCTCCTGGTTCATAGGTCCACGTTCAATCACTGAGCTGCGCCAGCTGGGCAAGACCTAATTTCTTTTAAACTTAAATAGACATATTCCAATCAGTGTAGGGCCAATATGTCTAAAAATCAGTTGCAATAAAAATTGAGTAATGAGACCACTCTATTGGGGACTGAGTTATAAGCAGCAGAAGCATTCAAGTTCACATGAAAACATGATGGTGGTCATAGTTGTATTCAAATTATAATATGGTACTCTTTTCTTGTTTTCTCTATACAGCACTTTTGAAAAACTAGAAAATGATATAACCTTTCACTGGTGGGACTCTGTAATTCTTCCTTTAGTAATATATCTTTAAAAATATGTCTTTATTGATTTTAGAGAGAGAAGGGAGAGAGAAACATTGATCTGCTACTAGAGATGGAACAGGTGACCTCTCCTCTCCCTGCATGAAAGGACGCTCAACCAACTGAGCCACACAGGCCAGGGCTAGTTAAATTTATTTTGATCCCGGAAAAGAGCACATTCAACACCTTCCAGTTTTCTTGCCTGGCTGCCCTGAAGTCCTCATGAAGCCTGGCTTTTCCAGATTTGTTTTCACTGAGCTCCAGATGCTTGCTTCCTCTAAATTAAAATCTTAACCAGCAGGTTGGAAAGTAACCAGATAAATTAACCCCCCCCAATGTGTCATTGACTTATAATAGCTCAATAGGTGATCTCTCTAGTGTGTTTGTATTTTTTTGAAAAAGAAATCTTTAGGCATAAAGCCTTCGTACAGGGTGATGAAGTTCTAGAGAACCTCAAACACGAGCACAAGGCCAGGAATGACTGCCTTTCTGGCGGATGTAGGACTCTTTCAATCAAATCTATTCAGTCCATTACCTTTCTCTCTTTGGGCTGGTAAAATGAAGATTTCCACAGGAAAAGTACATACACTAGCTTTTAAGATGTTTTAAAAACTCTTCGTCACAATTTCCTTTTCATAGAGTGTTTTGATCAATGCAATGATAGCTTATTTACTCTCAGAATGTCTTTTATTGAAGGTGGAAAAACATTCTGTCACTCACTTAAAATCCATGAAAATAATAGAAAAGGTTGGCACATCGAAGGAAATGAACGCCCAAAACATCAACGCTTGAATCATCTTGGCTGGAATACTTAACTCCAGTCGATTTACCCAAATCCATGGTTTGTTAAACACCTTTGGACCCTGTCTGATCCATGTGAGCAGAGGGAACAGACTGTGGAGCGTGGCTGGGAAGAAACAGGGGGAAAGAACCGTGAGATGAAAAAGTAGTAGAATGTTTCCAAGAAGGGGTGGGGTTTAGGGTGGAGGCCAGAAAAGAAAAAAAAAATGGGATTGCCCCTCCGTTCATTGAACGAACATTTATTTTTTGCCTCCCGTACGCCTGGGCCTCCCGGTGGCGACCTCTCCGGATGCGCGCTCCTCGCGGACAAACGCCGGGCTCGGGTTATCTCGGGACCGGGAGCGGCTTCCGAC